AGAAAGATACAGTTACAAAAGTGTGCGCCTAAAATTACAGTTGCAAAAGGATTAAGGCGCCAATCAATCAAGGTTCCGGCGCAGCAACAGGAAAGAGCGCGCGAGCATGCAGAGCAGCGCCCCAGAAAAGCAGGAATTCCAAAATTCCTAAATTCCTAGCTAGCCTGTCGAAAAGGTCCGAAGAGAAAATCAAAATTCCGAAGGCCGTATGGCTCCGACCAAGATTTGAAAAGAAAATTCAAGAAAGAAATTCAAAAGAGACACCAAAATTCCCGCGCGATGTCTGCGCGCCCAAAAGTTCGACAAAACAAAATTGAAAGAAAAGAAGAGACGTCAATGTTTATTAATCACGCACTCGGCGCGCACTCCGCATCCGTCCAAGTTTCGCCCCCTTTTCCCCGCGTATTCCCGAATTGTCCCCAACTGTCATCAGCGGCTCGTGCGAGAACGAAGAAACAACAAAAAAAAGCAAGGACACACATGCAATTTTCCATCAACCCATCCAATCGACGTGGGACCCCGCTTAGCACTTCGCGTCGAAAGTCGCGCATTACAGAAGCTAGTTCGTCACATATGTGACGCCCAGGGGGTTCCAAAGATAAGCAAGCTCCTGCTTGCTAGCTGACATGTCGCTCCTCTTTGATTGATTGGCCGTTGAGGGTTGATCTTCTTTTCTGCCGCATACCGTGCGAATGAGTGTGGACGTCATGGTACGCGGCAGTCGTATCCTGGTTGTCGTCACTCGTGGGGAAGAGGAAAGGGAAGACGATAGGCAGGCGGAGGTGTTGATGGGGGATGAGTCGGGATAGGCGGGAAGAAGCGTTCCAGCTCATCGTCCGTTTCCGGAAGGTTCCGATGATGGACGATTCTATGGAAGCGAGGGAATCGGCGGCCATTAGTGGGGAGAGAAGCGAGGTAGTCGGGATAGACAGTGGTGAAGGTTCTAAGAAGCGTCGCGCGAAAGCGATCGCGGTCGGCGCAGGCGGGGATTAACCCCTTGATGAGGCAATAAACCTCTACGACGTTAATACGACGCCATCCAATGCTGAAGAGAAGTACATGCAGAGGGAACTCGGGGAAAGCACGCCGGGAGGATGAGTGGGGATGGACTGTGACAGAGAGACGGATGGAGAAGTGATGACGAAAAGTGTCGCGGGGGAAGGGATTGTGGGGGAAGACGGCAGGACGGGTGAGGAAGTCATGGGGGCGGAGAGAGAGAGCCCGAGGACGAAGGCCGATCGGCCTCATCTCGACGTGCTCGAAGTGGGGGACGGGCCGCGAGGGAGAGGGAGGCGGAGGGGGAGCGGCTTCGTCGTCGGCGTCGTGGTGGGGAAGGAGGCCGGCGAGCGGATGGCCAAGCCACCTGGGCCACATGGCCATCGTCTGGCTGAGGTGGCTCCGGGTCGAGCGTTGGATCGTTGCTGATAGGAAGATCAGCAACTGTCGCAATTTCTAGCTGGGCATCCTCGTTGGCCTGCTCCTCGTCGTTGTCATCACCGCTCCCCTGCGCGCTGTCTTCTTCTTCTGCTTCCTCTTCGCTCTCCGTTTGCAGGAGCTTGTCTTCGTCTCCTCCTTGGTGCTGTGCCGGCTCCCCTTCGTCGTCGTTCAGATTCTCCTCCTCTTCCTCCGAACTTTCTTTCGCGATCTCCTCGCGGATTATCTCCTCCAATTCGTCTTCGCACGGCGGCCTGTAGAAAGCGGGATCCACGATGTCGCGCGGATCCAAGTAATCCAACCGTGAAGGCGGAATTCTCGATGGGAAGCCCTCCACGCAAGCTGACCACTGAAGATACGGCGACAGCGTGTGTGAAGTGACGTGGGGCACCAAGCGCGGGTCGACTTGGGAGACAATGCTGACGTCTAGATGGTCGGCCAGCTGCGCAATCGGGACCGTAAGCTCCTGGGTGAGAAGCCTCCGACAGCTCGGACGTACTGCCCTGAATAGGAAACCGAGAAGGTCCCCCTCTACTTTCGTCCGCCACGCCTGAATCAAGAGGAGCTCCAATCGCTCAGTCCGCGGATAATTGCTCTCGTCCCTCGTCCACGTCACCCGTACTTCCGCCAAACACAGTGAGAGTTCAATGAAGTCTTTGCGCCACACGTCCCACTGAGAGAGATCGAGAAGGGGAACAACCAGAGGATCTATGCAGAAGGAGAGGCGGGGATGAAGGTCAGACTGCCAAAAGGTGGGGAAGGAAGAAGGAAGCTCGAAAATAGAGATCGGGAAGGAACTCATCGGGGATGGAAGGGGATGAGAGGGGGTAATTGCGTTGGCGAGTCATGCCGATCCAGCTGAAGGCCGTTGTATTCGATCGCTCGGATTGGTGCGATCACGTCCCCTTGGTGCGCCAGGATCTGGGTCCACTCGTTCTTAAGATTGTGCGCCCACAGAAGCAACGTTGCCTTGATTCTCGTGTGTCGGATGGGGGGGATCGCCGTGAGATCCCCACTGAAATTAACCACCACCGTTATCCGGCCGACGTCCACAGATGTTCGTTGTCTCAACCCGACAGCTACGGCCAATATGATCGCGTCAGCCCTCCCGTCGACGTGGATCTCTGCTGCCGCGTAGACGCCCTTCGAGCAGAAGAATTGCGCAACCCGCTGAAGGTCCGGACTAAGACGAGGATGATGCACCTGCCGCAGTGTCAAATTCCCCCGTGCTACCAGTGCTTCTTCACTTAGAGCTCTCTCCTCCATGAAGCTCATGGCGATGGCGAGGGTGACGGCGTATCCGACAGAGATTGAGAAGGAGAAGGAGATGCAGAGGAGATAGAGTCCTCGTCGGGAGAGGTTGATGGAGAAGGAGACGGAACAGAGGGAAGAAGACGGAGATAGGACACGTGGCGTGTGATCGGGCGAGYCGATCGACTGMYGRAAATCTCGGGAGCRAGGCGCACGGTGTCCACGCCGTTGGGTCCGAGCTCAATCACTCGATACTGTCCGAAGAATCGTGGCGCTAGTTTACCCTGGCGCGCACATTTCCTTACCTGCACGATGTCCCTTAACTTATACTGGGTCTTGGGACCCGCATTCCCGTTCCGGGCCTCGTAGCTTCGGACCTGTCGGCCATGGGCCAATTAGGTGGACCGTTGGCGCTTCCGGGCCAATCCAGGTAGGGACGGCTCCACGAGTTCCAGGTGCCTTTTGGCTTTGTCCCGAGCGGTGGCCCTTGTGGGGCGTCGGTTGAGTCCTGATTCGTCTGGGAGGGCCGGTATCGATACACACGCGACACTATTGGTCCGCAACTGGAAGGGGCTTAGGCCCGTCGATTCATGGGGCGTTCCGCGATGGACCGCCAAGATGTGGTCGACAATATCAGGCCAGGGTCGGGGGTCTCGTGCCGCAATATTCCGCCGCAAGGCCGTTTTTATCACCCTATTCGCGTTTTCCACTAATCCGTTAGACTGGGACATGTGTGGGGCCGTGTGCCGTATGGAGACGCTGTGTATGACCAGGTTCCTCTTGACTTCTCCTTTAAATTCGACCCCATTGTCGGTCAGGATCTCCTCTGTGTCCTGGTGCATGCCCAGAAAACGGTTGACGTACCGCGCGATTTTCACGGCTTGTCGTGTCTTGCAGGGGTAGGCCTCGATCCACTTAGAAAAGTGGTCGACGAAAACTAGCAGAATTGAATTGTCGCAACTACGGTCCAGGGGGCACCACTATATCAGTAGTATCCATACTAACCCTCTGAAACGGCCTTTCAACCACAGTTGGGACTATCGACCTAGGCGGTTGGGTTGGGGCCTTGTCAGCAGTGCAGACCTGGCAGTGTTGGACGATGAATTTAACRTYGTCTCGGATATTGGACCAGTACCATTGGTTTCTGTCAATCGCAGCCTCRGTAATRYGCACGGCAAAATGYGTCGCCGTTTCCTCGTGGGCAGTTCGTACCCAGTCGTACCGCATGAACGGGTGCGGAACYACTAACCATGCTCCACTGCCGTCYGTTTTASGCTTCTCTAACCGTCCATCCACCCATCGGTAATCCYGTGCTCTTTCATTGGCCCTCCTCCGATCCTCCTTGGAGAASGTTTCGAGGGAGTTGCCTACCAYYGTGGCTATTAAGGCGACATCTGTCCAGACTTCCGCTCTTCTAAACTTCTGGATTTTGTCGGGGCCTTCTGACGTGGCATCGAGGAATCGGGCTTCTGTCGGAATCTTGTYAGTGCGACATAAGGGACAGAACCAGGGTCTAYCACTACTYCGATACTGTATGCACGCACCGTGAGCRCGTGYGACACATTTCCGACAATCTACCCATTCAACATATCCCGTCCCTTTTGGACACATGTGGACGGAATAGACTCGAGAAATTGACTCGCAGAAATAGCAAAATTTGTCAGGAAGGGAGGGGAAAGAAGAGGATGGGGAAGAAAGAGAGGGAATCGGGACATTACCTCCGTCACCCATTGCTCTTCACTGGCTTCTTGCCACGTGGAATGACCGCAACTTCTCCGTACTTGGGACCGTTGTTGATGTCCAGGTCCTTCCACGGTGTGATCTCTTCCGCTTTTGGTACTTTGCTAGGTCGGTGCAAACGTGTCAGTCCGTCGGCATTGCCGTGTCTCTCCGTTTTTCGATGAACAATGTCAAATTCATATTCTTGCAACCGCACCGCCCATTGTCCGATCATGCCCGTGTAGTTGGTTAGCTTCTTCAGGGCCAACAGAGGTTCATGGTCGGTGACGAGCAGAAACTTCTGACCGTACAAATACGGGTGGAAGTGTTGGATACCCCACACTACCGCATAGCATTCCCCTTGTGGCGCGGAATCGTTTCGTCGCTCGTCTGGCACCGTCCAAGAAGCGTACTCAATGACATGCTCCTTCCCATCGTTTCCCCTCTGTGCCAGAATAGCCGAAATAGCCTCCGGCTGCTAGTCGGTGATGAGAATAAACTGCCGAGAGGGGTCCGACCTGATCAGAATCAGGGCCGTGACGAGAGCATCCTTCAGGGCCCCGAAGGCCTGGTGGCACTCGTCATCCCAATGAAGGGGCTGTTCTTTTCGCAGCAGGTTTGTCAGAGGCCTTGCTACAGCCGCGAACCCTTTGATGAACCGCCGGTAGTACGAGGCCAGGCCCAAGAAGGCTCGAACCTGCGTCAGTGAGGTCGGAACCGGGGCCTCCTTGACCGCCGTGACTTTTCGAGAGTTCGGCCGCAGGCCTCCACGTGTCACCACATACCCCAAGAACGAGATTTTCGGGAGGAAAAACTCGCTCTTTTCCAGCGCAATCTTGAAACCTGCGTCTCTCAGCGCCCCCAACGTCCATTCGATGTGTTGCGCGTGTCCATGAAACGTGTCCGAGTACACCAGAATGTCGTCCATGTACACAGTGACACAGAAGTCGATCATCCCGTGAGTCAGCCGCGTTTTATTGACAAAATTATGAAAAGTCACATTTATCGCCCGCTGAAACGTGGCATGCGCATTGCAGATTCCCATCGGGCACCGAACCCACTGCCACGTGCCTTCAAACAAAATGAAGGCAGTCTTGGGCCTATCTTCTTCTTTCACCAAGATATGATGAAACCCATGCCGAATGTCGAACTTGCTGAAGTAGTTAGCACACCCGATCGCATCAAGTAGATCATCAATCCGGGGAAGGGGATACACATCTTTAATCGTGATATCATTTAACTTTCGATAATCGATGCATATGCGGACTGACCCGTTCTTTTTAGGAACCAACACAACTGGGAACGACCAGGGACCGTGGCAGGCTCAATCCATCCGTTTGCCTCAAATTCCCTGATTCGCTGCAAGGCCGTCTTGCGCTCTGTCAACGAGTATTGGTACGGCTTGCAGTGGATCGGGGAATGATTCCCGGTCTGAATCGCATGCTAAATGACCACAGATAATCCAATATCGGCATCGGACACGCTAATCGCCCCTTGATATTCTATTAAAATATCAGCGATCAACCGATGGATCTCATCAAGTACATACTGGGACACATGCAATTCATACATTTGATCCAAAATTCGAACGTTAACCTGCTTCGTGTGCATACGCCGAGTAGTGTGAGGCGGTGCTGATATAAAAGAGTGATTCGATCTCCAAGAAAACTCAGTGGCCACCATCTGTGCTTCCTCTTCCCTGATTGCTGTATGATTTTCGGGGGTTATCCCGTCACAGATGTCTCGCCAGGGCACGTTTTTGGGCGAAATCTTGATCCCGAATTCATCGGATCTCGCCTCGATGCGCTGAGGGGGTTCCAAAGAACCTGCTTCGGCTCCCAAACGCAACAACTGAACCTCTTTAGCGGGCTGAAGCAGGGATCGAGGTAAGCTAGTGAGATCGCAAAAGGAACGCTTGTCACTATACCGAAGGAGAAGGGGAGATACGCCTTCGTACAGGGTCTGAGGGGGTTCCAAGGAATCAACCAGCCTTGAAATTTGTACGAGGGGTTCTCCCATGATCAACATATAAGCATTCCGTGTGGTTAGATGCATGGTACGCGCAATAGTGCGAGGCGGCGGGTAGTGTATCCGTTGCCGTAATAACCGTGTAACGACGGGATCGTCATCGTCGTCTCTCCCCGCGTCGTTCGATGATTGGCTTCCGTCCACAGGTGCGCTCCAGGAGACCATGCGGAGCGCTCCCATTGTTTCCGGAGAAACTCGGGGTACTACCTTAACCGTTGTTCGAAGAGTTAGTCTCATAGGTATTACATACGGCTTTCCCCCGGTATTCTGGAGAATGACGGATCGGCGTTCGAAGTCCAAATTAGCACGCAACGCCAATAACGCAGGAAGCCCGAACAGGACGTCATACGTATTCACATCCGGCACCACAACATCTCCTAAAGCATGCACTTTTCCCAATCGGAACGCGACATTTGTCATACGCCCTACTGTCTTGATCTTCTCCTCGTCAGCCGATACGAGCTGGTCCTTCTCAGTTAGCATAATCAAATCATTCTTCCTACCCGCTTTCTCGACTACTCGGAGGGATATCGCTAGGACATCCGCTCCCGAATCTATGATCGCACTATACGGCACCCCCCAGACTTCAATATCACATACGGCTGATTTCCACGGAATCGGCTTGATCCGAAGAAAGTGGTCGTCTTTCTGTATTAATCCGACTCGGATGGGATCAGGGGCGACGTCCGCCTTTTTTTCCGAAGGCGGCGCCTTCGCCATCTGATCTTTTGCGCGTGCAAGGGCGAATTGCTTGCGGTTCGCTTTGCAATGTTGCATCATTCGTTCATTCGCCTGTTCCGAGATGGAGAGTAGGTGGCCGATTGGGAGAGGGATTCGATGATCCAGTGCTCGGGTGACTTCAAGGACATCGATTTCTCCTGTAACAAAGGTAGGGCCTCCCGTCTCCATTTCGCTCGACGAAGGCCGCTATTCGGCGACATCTCTGGACTCGAGTTCCGGTCGAATTGTCCCAATCATTCCCAGCCCCGGGTATCCTAGTGATACGTACTGCTCCAGCGGGATAAGCTTAGCTGCTTCCTCACTGGAAATCATCATTACCGTACTTCCCCCCTGATCATCCATTACGGCTCCTACACATCCTGGACCGTTAGCTATGGGAGCTGCAGCTGCAGGCGCGATCCCAGCTCGAGGCTGCATGGCACGATGGGGGCGATCTCGGGCCAAGTGTCCCGGTTGATGACATGTAAAACAGGCATTTGTCGCGGTCCCGGCTGGCCCCGCTGCCACTTGGGCAGCAGCCATGCCTCCCTGCATTGGTGCTCGCACCGCAATGGGTCGCATATTCCGCATCATAGCTTCTAATCGGGCGTTGTGCTCTCGCTGTTCCTTCTTGCTTTCGTGGATTAGACTAACCAATGTTTTAGTTAGCTCCAAGATAGCAGTAGACTCACCCGTTTTTGCTGGTGACTCGATGGTGGGTGGCGGTGGAGGTGGCCGAGTTACGGTTGGGGATGCCATTACCGAAATCTGCCTGTCTATAGTCGCTCCATGGGGTGCGGTCCTCGGTGTTACCTGTTCTACATACGTAACGGGTCCGGCTACGAATCCCATGTTTTCGAATTTGTTTTGTAGTGCGGCCAGTTCCGCCCTTGCTTTCACAAGTTCGGACGAGTCTCCTTCTCTACCGTAATCCTGGTTTTCTAAGAAGCTAGCTGCGAATTTCCGCTCCATCTCTTCTGCAGCGTCCATAATTTGTTGCAGCGTGTGATTAATGGGAGAGAAGTTTTTACGTAGCTTCCCCCGAATCGTTCTGTTACGTAGTCCATCAATGAACAAGTCCCGGCCTACCTGCTCGCCCCGGTCAGTCTTTACAAACATTCGATGAAATCTGTTTCGATACTCGGTAATGGATTCGAGTGGTTTCTGGACTCGATCCTTGATCATATAGAGTGCTTGTTTGGGGTGAACATAATCGAAGTGGTTCATGAAATCCCGCTCGAATGTGGGAAGATCCACCCATACATAAGTGTTATACCAATGATGTGCGTCTCCCCCCATCCGCGCGAGGATGTTGATCTGAGCTTCATCGTTCGTATACCGCCGAGCTCGGAGCGTGGCTAACCATGCTCTGGCGAGATGGTGTGCTGGGTCAAATAAATAAAGATCTGGTGGAGCCGCAAGGGTTCGCGCAGGCGGGTTAGGCGGTTGATTGGGGATGGCCACCGCAGCGGCTACTGCAGCAGCGGCCGCAGCCATGGCGCCTGCTCGCCTTGTGGCGGATGTTCGGCTTCGTGTAGCTACAGGACTACGTCGACGTATATTACCAGCTGGAGGGCGCCTACGTGGAGCCAGATCGCCTCGCCCTAGCCAGTATTGAGTCTACAGACCCTTGTCGCTTAGCCACGTGTCGGGCTCCGATACCAACCTCACGCCCGACGCGACTTCCTGATCGGAGTGGGATGGGGGCCTGGAAGTGCGAAGAGGGGTGTGCCAAGGATTTTTGGGAAAGTGGGGGTTGAAGTCCCAGGTCGGARMYGGGATYYTYTGTGGCCGAGTTCAAGGGTCGTGGGCGCAATACTGCCGTAGGGCAGGGCAARCACGCRATTACCRCCTATCKCATCGCTTYGGGTTTGATGGGGACCACCGGGGTGYGGGGGACTGCCGYGCGTCCTGCYTGGGGACTCGAAARGGGGTCGATTGTTGGCCACGCCGYGGGTTATGGGCGCGCTGGTCAAAGCGAGGAGCACRCGGGTAGCGCCTGAGTAAACACTCTCTGCACGGTTCAGGCCAATACGCGGCTATGACCTGCCAGGGCACCACTGTGAGCTGGTGATATGGGAGGAGAACACGGAAGGGAGGGTAATTAGTGGCGACAACCACGAATCCGGGAGAGGTGTAATATTGTGTGTAATCCGGTTCGGGATAGTCTGCTCCGCGCGGATCGTTGGTTATCGCCCGATGGAATTCCCGCTCGCACACTTGGTTTCTCGTGTAATTCGGGAATTCCGGATACGCTCCTCGCGCGCAATAGTACTCCCAKCGGGATTCCTGAATCCAGGGCTCAAAGTATTCCCTATCCCAAGATGTGCTAGAGCCTGAGGACCGTGTCATCATTGCGTGCGGTTCTCAGACATGGGTTCTCRGATATGCTCGACGTAATTTTTGGGTCGGGATGATGACGTCGATTRCGAACTCAAAYAGACAATCTGCACATACATCCAGCCTAATGATAGCGGGCAACTAATTCYGTCTACACATCACGATGCAATCAAAACTTCACGAGGTTGTGAGCAACTAATCTCATACATTAGTGAGGCGCAAGAGGAAACRATGCKCATTCCATCCATTCATCCGTGTCGACAAAAAGGCAATCAAAAGAGAAGGAAATGCAGGATGCGCCAATTCAGGCGAAAACCAAAACAGAGATATCGAATCGAAGGATAGGGGGCAATCACCCAGTCAAAATTTATGTACATAGAAGAGAGGGGAAGAGATTAAAAAACTGCAAACCCATGTCCCCACAACTCTCTCTCTCTCTCTCTCTCTCTCTCTCTCTCTCTCTCTCTCTCTCTCTCTCTCTCTCTCTCTCTCTCTCTCT